AAGCGAGGAACTATTTGTTTAACAACAATTTCATTATGAAATAAACCTAGGTACTTTAAATCAAAAAAAGTCAATGAATAAAAATGTTTTTTTTTACATTAAAATCTTCCGATTATTTAAAAAGGAATTAAAAATAAATAAATCATTAAAAAACCGTACGGGTACGGGTACGGGGACTCGAACTCGGATGTCTCTAGTGGCACTCTCGCGCTCTGTTCACTCGGCCATTGCGACTGTAAGAGCAGCGCGAGCAAAATGGCTTACATACATGCTATCAGTTGTGATAAAGAAACAAAACATCGGTATACGTACTAGATGTGTGGGTGACAGGTAATAAGATCAACGGAAATAAGGTCAATTGACTTTATTTCCCACCCTGGTGCGAAATAAAGTCAATTGACATTATAACCTTTTTAAAAACGAAATAAAATCCATTGACATTATTTCCCTTTCAAACATTAAATTTGTTTAGCTTCGCTGCGGCGCGCGTCAGTGCGCCTCACCGCGCGCGCCGTGCTCGCCCCCCGCGCGACCGACGCGCACCACGTCACGCTACGCCGCGGCCCCCTCCGGCCCTCCCTTCCCCGTCTCCCGCCGTGCTGTAACGCAGGTAGATTTATTTTTTTGTATACGGTGAAATAATATTTTTATATATTTTAAACATCGAGGGCTTATATTCAATAAAATACCCTCTATCTGCACACTTTTCACAAGGATGAGATTCTGATATAAAAATCCACCTAAGCTTTAACTGTCATCAGTGATATTAATGCTACCTTCTATAACGACAGGTTAATAAGTCCCAGGTGGTTTCTAAAATCACAAATTGCAAATTGCAGATAGAGGGTATTAATGAATTCAAGCCCTCGATATTTCACATTTTTATATTTGTAAGTTATTAGAAGCAGGGATGCCAACTTGGCTCAAACCGTGCCATTTGTCCCTATTTTACTTCAAATGGCACTTAATTTTTCAATTTGGCACAAAGTGCCACAATTGGACTTTTGTACATTTTTGTGAAATCCTTTGCGTGCACTTCTTTTTCTCAACTAAAAATTTCTAATTTATAAAGGCTATTCAACTGGTTTATCTTATTTTATCATTGCACTTTTGTTTGGGAAATGTAGCTTTATTTTATTGCTAAATGTGAATGATTAAAAGGAATGACACCTTTTCTGGCACTTTTATTTTTCTATTTGGCACATTTTGGCACTTTTTTATCCTCAATATGGCACCTCATAAATAAGGATAGTTGCCAGCCCTAATTGGAAGATTTCTGCTGTGTTTTGGGGCAACGACTTGTCTGCAGTAAAAAAGCATATAATTTGTTTTTCAAAAGTGTGTGAAAACCAATCAATTAACTTATATGATCTCGGTTCCGATATTAAATAATCAATAATTGTTTATACCCGCATTTTGGCACATTGGCTCGTTGAATGTGCCATCTAATAAATAGTGTCGTCATTCTCCTTAGCTGGTTTTAAATGACGTCACAAATTGATGGCGGAGACATGAATACAGTGTAAGAAAATTCTTTTTCTATAATTGTTTCCTTATAGAAAAGTTGGTTTCTTTTCCACCTTAGACATTCCGAATTGGTTCAAAATATGCTAAAATAAAACACAGAATTCTTTCAGTGTTCCTCCGGGGGTTTTGGACATGGACTGTTTCTTCAATTTAATAGTATTCGATTTATTTTTGTGGAAACGAAACATGTTTTGCAAGTTAAGGATCATTTCTACACTCTTTCTTCAAATATTTCTCGTATTCCAGCTTTCGCATCGTGTTTTTACATATTCGTAATTGAATTTTTTTTAATAAAATTTGGCAATAACCTTTTTCATCTATTAAAAAACAACACTTACGGGGCAATGTTTATGGTAAGAACAAAATTTTTTTCTATGAATCGTCATACTTTAAGCATTGTTGACGCTATTTCCATTTGAATGAGGAAATACCGCCAATGACTTTATTTCCAAATTTTTGTTGACTTTATTTCGCTTTTGAAAAGGTAATAATGTCAATTGACTTTATTTCGCACCAGGGTGGGAAATAAAGTCAATTGACGTTATTTCCATTGACCTTATTACCTGTCACCGATGTATGTCTCATCGAAATAGTATCAAAATCCATAGTATGCATACCATGGTGTACAAACCACATGTCTGTCAGGGCTATAACGAAACTTTATCAAAATCTATTATGCTTTTATAAACTTCCACAATATTTATTTCTAAGACCACGGCACTGCTAGAAAAATACTTACACGCGACTTATTATACCTTAAGGTTAAATTAGTGGTGACATAACCATATAAAGCAGCTGTTCGAACCAACCTTATTTCCAACACTATATTCGGTTAGTGGTGCCATAGTCATAACCAGGG